GTGGTGAATTCTCACCTCAGGAAAACAAAATGAGCACAAATAAAAAAGCTTTTGCTGCACCATAAACTTCTAGAAAAATAAGAGCAAGTCTAGCAGAAAGCCCATACAAGGGAGGACATTATAAAGATCAGAGCAGAAATTATTGCAATGGAGACTAAGAAAATAATACAAAGAATTAATGAATCAAAGAGTTAGTTCTTTGAAAGAATAAATAAAATTGATAAACCTATACCCAATGTTATCAAAAAAAGAAAGAAAAAACAAATTCATGCAACAAGGAATAAAAGGGTGAAATCACTACAAATCATGTAGAAATTCAGAAGATCATGAATAACTGCTTCAAAAATCTTTACTATCATAAGATGAAAACAGAAGAAATGGACAGATATCTAGAAATATATGTTACTGAAGTGGAATCAAGAAGATATATAGATTCTGAATAACTCAATATCAGTTGATGAAATTGAAAATGTAGTTAAAAATGTACTAACAACAAAAAGTCCAGGTTCTGATGGATTCACAGTTGCTCTACAGGAAATTTAGGGAAGATTTAATGACAATACTCCTCAAAATCTTTAATGAAATTGCAAGTGAATCAATACTCCCTAACTCATTCCTGGAGGCAAGTATTACCCTGATGCCAAAATCAGAGAAAGTTCCAACCAAAAAGGAGAACAAAAGGCCAATCTCCCTACTGAATACAGATGAAAAAAAATCCTCAATAAAGTACTAGCAAACAGAATGCAACAAATCATCAAGAAGATTATACACCATGACCAAGTGGTATTCCTCCCAGGAATGCAGGAATGGTTCAACACACACAAATTAATAAAGGTAATACATCACATGAACAGAGACAAAGACAAAAATCACATGATTATCTCAATAGATGAAGAAAAATATTTTGATGAAGTCCAGCACTTGTTCATGACGAGCCATACAGAACTTTGCAATTGATCTTCACTTCAATTTGATAAAAGCCATTTATGCCAAAGCAACAGTAAATGTAGGGAGTAGCTAAAGCTGGAAATTGATCACATATGTGGGAGCGAGATAAGTCAGGGCTGAGAACAAAGAATACCTGAGGCAATAAAACCTCTTCCATCGGGAGCACACTAAGCCATGTCAGTAATCTGTTGCTAGGCAAAATGATGTCATGTGACACCAAACTTTGAATGTCTAAATGGACACCCCACACTGGTAGACAGATTTCCTTTCCTCCAGTAAGGACACAAAGGGCTCCACCTGACCTCACCTTTTGTCTTTTATCTTTATTTTTCCCATCATCTAACCACTCCCCTACAGGAACATCAAGAGCCATGCAACTTGTGGCAAGCCAACATTATACTAAAGTGGACAAAACCGAACTCTTTCACTCTAAAATCAGGAACAAGGAGAGGATATTCACTATTACCACTCCAATTCAGAATAGTTTTTGAAATATTTGTCAGAGCATTAGGCAAGAGGAGAGAAATAAAATGAATAAGGTTATGAGGGGAAGAAGTTAAATTATCATTATTTGCAGATAATATGATACTCTAGATAAAAGATCCCATAAGTTCCATTAAACTACTTCAAGATTTAATAAGCAAATTTAATTACATAACTGGACTAAGCAGCCAATGCTCGAAAATCAATAACACACCTGTACAGCAACTACAAACTCAGTGAGAGAGAAATTAGGAAAACAATACCCTCCACAATATCATCAACAAAACATTAAATACTTAGGAATCAATCAGAAAAAGGAAGTAAACAACTGTATATTGAAAATTACAGTACTCTGAAATAGGAGATCAAAGAGGATATCAGAAATGGAAAGATATCCTTTGCTTATGGATAGAAAGACCCTTTCACATGCCAAAGACAAACTGAACCTATTTCTATCGCTATGCATTAAAGTTAAAATGGATCAGAGATCTAAATATTAAAACAGAAACAATAAAT